TGATGTAGAGGAATCCAACTGATTTTTGTACTTTGATCTTATACCCTGCAATATGCTAAATCTTTCAAAAAGTTCCAATAGTTTTCTTGCTAAGTCTCTTGAGTTTTCTATGTGTGGGATCATGTCATCTAGAATTAAGGATACTACTACTTACCAATAGGAGCTCTGGTGTCATAGTGCCTAAAGCATTTGACTGCTAACCAGAAGGCTGGTGGATCAAACCCACCAGCCACTCCTCGGAAAGAAGGCTGGGCAATCACTTCTATAGTGATACTACCTCGGAAACCCAAGGAGGGGTCACTATGAGTCAGGACTGACTTGACAGCAGTGAGTTTTGTTTTTGGTTTTACTTACCAATTTGGATGCCTTTGATTTCCCTTTTTTGCCTTATTGCCCTTGCTAGGACTTCCAATACTATGATGAATACAAGTGGAGATAGCTACCTTGTCTAGTGCCTGTTTACAAGGGGAATGGTTTCATCTCTCTCCATTGAGAATAATGTTGGCTGTTGGTTTTACATATATGCCTTTTGTTATGTTGAGGAATTTCCAATTTATTCCTATTTTTCTGAGGTTTTTTGTTTGTTTTAATCAGAAATGAGTGTTGGATTTTATCAAATGTCTTTTCTGCATCTATTGATATGATCATGTGACTATTTTCCTTTATTTTACTTATGTGATGAATTATGTTGATTGCTATTCTAATGTTGAACCATCCTTTCATACCTGGTATGAATCCAAATTGGTCTTGATATTTTATATATATATGATTGCAGTTTATTGGCTAGGATTTTGTTGAAGATTTTTGCATCTATATTTGTGAGGGATATAGGTCTGTGGTTTTCCCTTTTAGTGGTGTCTTTGCCTGGTTTTAGTATCAGGGTTATGCTTGGTTCATAAAATGAATTTGGGAGGATTCCATCCCTTTCTATGATCTGGAATAGTTTGAGGATTGGTGTCAATTCTTCTCTGAATGTTCCGTAGAATTATTCAGTGAAACAATCTGTACCAGGACTATTTTTAATTGGTAATTCTTTTCTGATCTGTTTAATTTTTTCTTTTGTTATGGGTCTGTTCAAATTTTCTAATTCAGTCTGTGTTACTTTAGGTAAGTAATGTGTTTCTAGAAATTTATTCATTACGTTCAGGTTTTAAAATTAGTTGGAGTACCATTCTACATAGTATCCTGGTATTATTCTTTTCATTTTTGTCATTTCTGTTGCAATTCACTTCTTGTTCATTTTATTTGCATCTTCTCCTTTGTTAAGTTTGCTAGTGGTTCATGAATTTAATTAATCGATTCAAAGAAAAAACTTCTAGTCTTTTTGAGTTTTGTATTGTCTTTCTATTTTTTGTTTATTTTTTCTTTTATTTTGTTTCATGACATTGACTGCAATTCCCCCCAATGTAACAGCTCTCTTCCCACTTCCTCCCTATAACTACCTCTTCTCTGTGTCCTTCCCTCTCATGTACTCTCACCTCCTGGGTATTATCCTGTGCAAACAGTGATGTGTTTCCCCTGATGTAAATGTTCCCCCCATATGCCTGTCTATTGTTTGGCTGGAAGCCACAGGAATAAGCTCAGTTCCAGACCTGAAGGGTAACTAGGGCCCATAGTCTTGAGGGTCTCACCAGGCTCTATCAGACCAGTCAACCTGGTCCTTTTTTTTTTTTAATGATTTTGAATTTTGTTCCACATTTTTCTTCCAGTTTATCTAGGATCCCCCTCTGAGTGGTTGACAGTGGTAGCTGGGCACCATCTAGTTCTTCTGGCCTCATGGTCATTATAGGCTGAGGATCGCATTGTCTACTAGTCCCTTGGACTAATTGTTTCCATGTGTCTTTGGTTTTCTTCATTTTTCTTTGTTCTGGATGAGGAGAGCCATCATTGCATCTCGATGGCCACTTGCAAGCTTTTAAGACTCCCATCATTACTCACCAAGGTAGCACATAGAACAATGTTTTTATGTGTTATGTTATGCCACTGAGCTTGATGTCTCCTGTGACCATGATTACAATCACAGAGATCCAACTTCTCACTCCCTCAGGGTAGCTACCTGTGACCAAAAGTCCACCACAACCTTGTCCCTTTGTCAGGTCTGCTATGCACCCAGTCATTCTTATAGCACATACTAACACACATGTAGAAACAACATCTGTCAACCCTACACATTTATTTCTGCTTGAATCTTTATTATTTCTTTTCATCTGATAACTAAGATTTTTTTACTGCTCTTTTTTGAATTGTTGAAAATGTTGGGTTAAGGTGTTGACTTTCACTCTTTCTTCTTTTCTGATGTGTGCACCTAATACTCTGAATTGACCACAGATCACTGCTTTTGCTGTGCCCCAAAGATTTTGATATGCTGTACTTTCACTCTCATTTGATTTGAGGAATTATTATATTTTTTTTTATATTCTAAATTTTATTTATTTTGTTGTTGAGAATATACAAAACAAAACATACACAAGTTCAACAGCTGTACATACACAATTCAGTGACATTGATTACATTCTTTGAGTTCTACAACCACTATCACCCTCCTTTTTGGAGTTCTTCCTCCCTCATTAACATAAACTCATTGCCCCCTCATATCATCACACTGCCATTGAGTCAAACCTGACTCATAGTGATCCCTCCTTGGTTTTCTGAGGTGGTATCACTATCGAAGTAGATTGCTCAATCTTCCTTCTGAGGAGTGGCTGGTGGTTTTGAACCACTAGCCTTCTGGTTAGCAGTCAAGTGACTTAGGCACTATGCCACCAGAACACCATTGCCCCTAAGGTCCCTATCTATTCTTTAGAGTTGCTGTTATAAATTTGATCTCATATAGATAGTTACCAAAAGAGCATAATGCTCAAGGCAGACTCAAGGAATTATTTTTTTATTTCATTTTTTAAAATTTCCTTTATTAACTAGTTGTTTCTAAGGCGGGTGTTATTTCGTTTCAATGCATTTACTCTTTTTCCATTGATCTTCCTAGTGTTTATTTTCAATATTAGAGCACTGTGATCTAAGAAGATGCTTTGCAGTATTTCAATGTTTTAAAATTTATTGAAGCTTTCTTTGTGCCTTAAAATATGATCTATCCTGGAGAATATTCTATGTGCACTGGAAAAGAATTCATATTGTGCTCTTGTTGGCTGAAATGCTCTGTATATCTCTATAAGGTCAATTTTGTTGATTGTATTCTTTAGTTCTTCTGTCTCTTTCTTGAGTTTCATTCCAGTTGTCCTATGTTTTATTGAAAGTGGTGTATTAAAATATCCTATTATTGTGGAGTCATTTATTTGTCTTTCAAATTCTTTAGGTCTAATTTATTTTGGGGCTCTTTCACTGAGCAAGTAAATATTTATTATGATTATATCATCTTTTTCAGTTGATCCTTTAGTTATTATATAATGTCATTCCTTGTCTCTTATCATGGTTTTTGTCTTAAAGTCTATTTTATCAGAAATTAATGATACTGCTCCTGCTCTTTTTTATTGCTATTTTCTTGATATATTGTTTTTGAACCTTTGACTATTAGTCTATTTTTGTATTTGTATTTGTGTCTAAGGTGAGTCTCCTTAACTCCTTAACTTAAAACATGGGTCATGTTTTCTTATCCAGTGTGCATCATCTCTTCAGTGGTGCATTTAATCCATTTACATACAGTGTAATTACAGACAAGTATGAATTTATTGCTGTCACTTTGTTATATGTGTTGTTCCCCCCCCCCTTGTGGTGTTGCTGAATTCTTTGTTCCATTGTGCCTAAGGCATTTGATTGCTAACCAGAACTCTGGCAGTTCAAACCCACCAGCCACTCCTCAGAAATAAGGTTGGGCAATCTACTTCCATAGTGATACTGCCTCAGAAACCCAAGGAGGGGTCACTATGAGTTGGGTTCAAGTCAATGGTAGTGAGTTTGGTTTGGTTTTGGAGCTTATTTTGTTTATGAATTTTGTTATCATTTCCTTTATTGCTATTGCTTTTGTATTTGGTAAATATTTTTGCCTCTCTTTTCAATTTTTAAGTGAATGCTTATCATTTTTCTTTGAATTACCCTGTGATTTATATATTTCTTTCCAACTTTAGAACAGTCTGTTCTATCTCACAATTGTCTTGACTTCCTCATCATTTGAGTCTGTACTTATACTATTTATCCCCATTTTTTCGTGTTGTTGTTGTTGTTGTTTTCTGTCAAGTTGGATCCGACTCATAGCAACCCCTCCTTGGGTTTCCAAGGCAGTATCACTATGGAAGTAGATTGCCCAATCTTCCTTCCTAGGAGTGACTGGTGGGTTTGAACCATCAGCCTTCTGGTTAGCAGTCAAGTGCCTTAGACAGTACACTACCAGAGCTCCCCACAGCCAACTAGCCATCTATAAATGAAAACATCAGTAGTTCTCACCTTGGCTGAACATTAAAACCACTTATGGTGCCTTAAAAAATGTTATGGACAAGCCACAGGCTGGTCCAATTAAATTAAAAAAAAAAAAAAATCTGTATTAGTGAGACAAAGACTTTATTACTATTTTTTTTTTTTTAAGCTTCACAGATGATTTCAGTATGAAGCAGGGGTTGGAGAGCAGTGCCATTCATTCACACACATAATCTGAAAATAGTGTTCCAATAGACATAAAAGTCATCTGGCCAGTAGATATGAATTCTCAGAAAGAATGAAGAGTCACAATAGAGCTGTCCATTTTATCAGGAAGCCTGAGTCACACATGAGAAACTAATAAGTCTCCATAGCCAGCTATATCATGAGATTTTTTTTTTTTTATTAGGATTTGGGTGAAGATTTACTATCATGAGATTTTTTGAAGCAGTTTGATATTACCCAGAATATATTTACAATTACAATCAAGACAGGACAAAAGGAATGAAAACTTGAGATAGAAAATGATGAAAGCTACAATATTATGTAGCCAAGAGGTGAGATTTCTGAGAATAGACATTTGGTTTTGCTGTGTTTTCCAGTGTTCACTTTCAAAAGATGGCATGGTGTTGACATCAGTTCATTCTCCTGAGGAGCTTCCTCAGGGCTGTCTTGATGTCTTTGTTCCTCAGGCTGTAGATGAAGGGGTTCAGCATGGGGGTTACCACAGTGTACATCACTGTGGCCACTGCAAGTTTCCTGGAGGAAGATACCACAGTCGAACTGAGATACACTCCAACAACTGTTCCATAAAATAAGCAAACAACTGACAAGTGAGAGCCACAGGTGGAAAAAGCTTTGTACTTCCTGCCTGCTGATGGAATTTTCAGAATAGAGGAAACGATTCGTACATAGGTGAAAAGAATCCCTAAAGCTGGAATTCCAGCATAGATGGCACCAATACAATTCAGTAATATGCCACTGCTGAAGGTGTCAGAACAGGCAAGTTTAAGAATTTGAGGAGGGTCACAGAAGAACTGAGGGATTTCCACACGATTGCAGAAGGTAAGCTGTGACATCATGAAAACATGCAATGCAGATTGCAAAAGGCTAAGTAAAGATAAAATCAAAACCAGCAAATGACATAGGCGGGGGTTCATGATGACCGTGTAGTGCAGGGGGTTACAGATGGCTACAAACCTGTCATAAGCCATCACAGTCAGGAAAAGACTGTCCAGACATCCAAAAAAGGCATAAAAAAACACCTGTATCAAGCAGCCTGTGTAAGTGATGGATTTTCTCTGTGTCTCGATATTCACTAGCATCTTGGGGACCGTGGAGGAGGTAAAACCAATGTCAGCCAAAGACAGGTTGGACAGGAAGAAGTACATGGGGGTGTGGAGGTGGGAATCAGAGCGAACAGCTGAAATAATGGCTACATTCCCAACTATAGTGGCCAGGTACATGGTCAAAAACAGGCCAAAAAGGAGGGGCTGAAGTTTCGGATCATTGGAGACTCCCAAGAGGAGGAATTCAAAGGCAGCTGTGAGATTCTGTGGCTCCATGAACCTGAGACAACTCTTGGAAAAAGAAAAGAGAATTGTTAAGAAGAAACAAACAGGCCACGAGCACTGTGTCTGTATTTTGAATTCAAAAACTTCAAAGTAAAGTGTTCACACTTGTGGACCTAATACCTCAGTACCTTAAGCAATATTTCTCAGTTGTGTAAAACCCATTCTTTCAAAATTCTTTCCTCATAATGTCTGTGCTATTCTGTTTCTTTGCATTCACTTCATTTTATTTATTTATTTAACTTTCTATTGTGGTTTGGTTAAAAGTTTATAATGCAGGTTAGTTTCCATTCAAAAATTTATACAAATTCTGTTCTGTGATATTGGTTGTAATCCCTTCAATGTAACAACACTCTCTCACATCCTCTTAGGTTTTACTGTTTTCATTTGTCCTTCTTTCTTGCAAGTCCTGCCTTCTGAGGGTCATTTTGGGGAGAATTCTGGCCTTTTGGTCTCATATGTTTTATTGTACTGTGGAGTGCATTCTTTCCCATTGCTATTATTCTCTTTATAGACTTGTCTATTCTTTTGCTCTGGTGGTGTAGTGCCTAAGCCACCTGACTGCTAACCAGAAGGCTGGAAGTTCAAACTCACCAGCCATTTCTCGGAAGGAAGACTGGGCAATCTATTTCCATAGAGATGCCACCCCCAGAAGCCCAAGGAGGGGTCGCTATGAACCAGAACCAACTCAATGGCAGTGAGTTTGGTTTGGTTTTGATTCTTTTGCTTAAATTTGATCCCAAAGGGTGGGTTTAGTTCCAGGATTGAAATGTGTCTATGAGCACAGTCTTGGAGGTTCCCTTGGTCTCTATCAGACCAGTAAATTTGGTCTTTTTTTTTATGATTTTCTTTTGTTCTACACCTTTTTCCTCCCTCTCTGTCCAGAACCTTTTATGTTGATCCTGATCAGAGTGATTAGTCATGGTAGTGAGTATCGTCTAGTTCTTCTGGTCTCTGAGTAGTAGAAGCTTTAGTTTGTGTGGTCCATTAATCCCTTGTGTTAAATTTTTCCTTATATATTTGATTTTCTTCACTTTTTTTTTTCTGGATGAAAATAGACCAATAGTTACATCTTAGAGAGTTGCTCCCAAGCTTTCAAGATCACAGTTGCTACACATCAAAGGAGGCTATAGAACATTGTTTTTGTGGACTATGCTATGCCAATTGATCTTAGTGTTCTCCGAGACCATAATCATAAATCCTTAAGCTCAGTCACATATTCCTACATGATACTTGGTTTTACATATTCACTTTAGAGACAAAGCCCTGAAGAATTTTAGATTAGGAAAGATACTTTAAGGTAAGAACTAAATAAAGGGAGTAAATTATCAGCATTCTATAAGAAAACATATACAATTTTAAAAAAATCTTACCCTTTTAAGTAAGAAACAAAATGTTCCAAATAGAAGACACTGAGAAGCAGTCAAGTGAGGTTTTTGTAGCTCTACATTAGAATTCTTGCTTTCCACAAGGGAAGCTTGCATCCCATTATCAGCCAACACATCTCATGTGCAAACACTACCCATCACCAGTTTATTGTTCTTTCAAGGTTAACTTGCTGCTGTGATGTCAGTGGGCCTTCAAAACTAAGACCGACTAGGAAGAAAGGCCTAATGATCTGCTTCAAAAAATCAGTCAATGGTAACTTTATGGATCACAAGGAACCATCCTCTAATCTATGACTGACCATGGGATGAGGCAGGACTAGGCATTGATTAGTTTCATTGTACTTTGGGTCACCATGAGTTGGGGCCCACTCTATGACAATGAAAAGAACAAGAAAAAACAAAAACAAAAATTAGTCCATTTCAACTCCAAGCGACCCCCTTTGGGTTTCCAAGGCTATAAATGTTTACAGAAGCAGAATGTCTCATCTTCTGTGGAGCAGCTGGTGGGTTTAAACATCCTAATGCCTTAACCACTACACCAGTAGAGTTACTGGGAAAAAAAAAAAAAAAAGAGGTAGTCTAATGTACTTTTATCTCATTCAAATGCAATGTAATCAATACCCTTGATCTGATATATTTATAAACATTCTACAAGTGATAGAACCACATTACCTCACTGTTGTCAAATTAATCCCAACTCACATTGACCCATAAGACAAAGGAGAAATGGAGAACAGTGCCACTGAGTTTCCAAGGCTGTAATCATTCCAGAGACTGATGGCCCCATCTTTCTCCTAAAGAGGGGGCTAGTTTTCATTGGTAACTAAACACCTTAACCATTACAAAACCAGGACTCCTACAATCATATTAGCTGGACTCTAAATGAAAATGAAAAGTTTATAATTGGAGAGCATTATATGGCAATTATGTTCATGGTTTTTTTTTCCATCATTCTTAGCTTTTCTGTCATCCATCTTCTATGGAGAAATGAGCTCACTCAAATAGGTCTTTGTTTTGTTTTTTATGATTGTGGGTTTTATTAGGAAAGTAACAGGTTATAATTCAGGATAGGAAACAAATGACTCAGGATGCAGTTCTTTGAGTAGGACAGCTTCTTTTCAGCCATGCCCATAGGTAGGGTTCCTTCTGGTCCTTGGCATCTCCAGCCCTTGGTCACTCTGTCCCTCAGCTCCTTGGGTCTATTGGGCTGTTTGGCCAACTCAGCCTCTGGCCTGCTTGGCCAAAAGTTACAAAGCTCTTAAGCTTCACCAATAAGTTCCTGGAGGGGGGTGGGTTATCTTTTTAAAATATTTTCCAACATTAACCCTAACTCTTGGCTTTGGAAGCTATCAAAATTTTATAAATACATTGGTAAATGTATAACATCATATGGCAGTGATGATTTTCAAAGTTAGTGTTAGTATTAAATGCATCAATTATCAAGCAATAAACTATTTTTAAGAAACATTCTGTTCTTGCTTTTCATGTTTATGCCTTGTTTTTCTGTATCCACACTATACCCTATCAGGGAAATATCTGATGCTGAATTCAGTGTTTACTTACTTTGTTTCCATTCTCTAGTTGCTTGATGAAAATGTTTAAGCATGTTCCTAGTTCTAAACCTTTCTGAAGAGTTTTTTTTTTCCTTCATAGGCAAACCCTCTTATTTGCAATTCAGGAATTTAGGGCCAATGAATAACCAAAGGAAGTCCCTGGGTGATGTAAATGTTTAAACACTTGGCTACTAACTCAGAGCTTGGCAGTTCAAATCCACTGAGTGCCATCTTGGAAGAAAATCCTGGTGATCTGCCTCAGAAAGGTCACAGCCGTTGAAAACCCTGTGGAGTGCAGTAATACTCTAACATGTACAGGGTGTCAAGTGTTGTAGTCAACTCACTGTCAATGGGTAAGGAGACCTGGTGATGCAGTGGTTAAAGAGCTTGCCAATAAAAATGTTGTCCGTTTGAACCCACCAGTCCATCCACTGGAGAAAAATGTGGCAGGCTGCCCCATAAAGATGACAGCGTTGGAAACACTAGAGGGGCCGTTCTGCTCCATCCTGTAGGATTGCTATGAGTTGGAATGAACTCAACAGCAATGGGGATGTTTTCCTAGCTGGGAGTTAAAGCCACGTTTGAGAACCACCCATCTTATGCCTTCTATTGAAGAGTTTTTCAAGTCAAGCCTTCCTATTAGGAGCATTGGAATTCTCCTAATTTCAACTCCTTGAAAGCAACTCATTTCCCCACTTGTTTGGATAGGTTCATTTTGATTTAATCTGTGAAAATGCATAAGGGGAAACAATAGATAATAATATGGCAAATATTCTGGTAGTTTGCACATAGGTTAAAATGTAACTATACATTGACTTTAACTTTTAGAATTATAAAAATTAAATAACACATGTAAAGTGCTTAGAATGTGGTCCTCATTGTTACCTGGCCATCACAATTATGTATTTAAAAAAAAAAAAAAAAAAAAACCTGACTCACTGCCATTGAGTCAATTTCAACTCATTTCAAGCTCTCCTTGGGCTTCCGAGGCAGTATCTCTATGGAAGTAGATTGCCCTATCTTCTTTCCAAGGTGTGGCTGGTGGGTTTGTATAGCCAGTCTTCTGGTTACAAGTCAAATGCCTTAGGCTTAGGCACTATGCCAGCAGAGTTCCCAGCAACTATGTATAGATCTTTCAGAATATATTGATGAGCTGGCCAGAGCAAGAGCCAGTAAAATCAGACTCTACACATGCATTCCTTAGTCATGAAGTACAGCCCTGATTGAGAAGCATTAGATTATTGCAAGGCACTTAGTAACTGTTTCAATAATGTTACCTCTTTTACCATCATTAATAAGCACTCCCATACTTAAAAACACATGTTTTAAAGTATGTGTTTCATACTCATGTTTTATAGAACTTTAAAATATTAATGTTAAAATTTGAGGTTTCTTTTTTTTTCCCCCATCCCTACATGATCCCATTCCTCACACACACTTCCTGCAGAGGCAAACTGTCTTATGAATTTTTGGGTATATTTCCCCCTGAATGTTTCCATAAGAATAATATTGATATATGTACTGATATTTTTCTTGACAACGTAGCTGTATAGTATCACATTACATATACCGTCCCCCAGAAGTTCTCATTTACAACAACAGTGTTTAACTGTTTCTGTGAATACACACATCTGTTTCAAACACTTTGAATGATGCTTAGAATTAGAAAGAGATATTTTATTCATCAATTTCTTATTCCAACAATCTTATGGAAATTCTTATGCCATTCTTTATATTACATGGTTGATAATTTCTATACTATGTATACACACTCAAGTTTAGTACTGATTGTTTGATTTTGTTATCCCAACAGAAAAGTTAGGCACAACTACATGCCCTTACTGTGAGAATATGGAATCATAAATATCCATGAAAATTGTATGAAAGGGGTCATTCCATCTAGATCCACATAAAATTCCCATCTTGTATAGGACATAATATTTTATTATCTCAGATTCCCAAAGTAGGGTATCAAATACATTACTTTTTGCTGAAAACACAACAATCTATATGAATCATTCTACAAAGTCCTGTAAGAATGGAAACAAAATGG